TCTCCCTTCCTCTCCCTCTTCCTTCCTTCCTTCCTTCCTTCCTTCCTTCCTTCCTTCCTTCCTTCCTTCCTTATGTCCTTCCATATGTCCTTCCTTCCTCTCTTTCTACAAGCCCCTCTATGTATCCATCTATCTATCTACCACCCACCCACCCTACCTTTCTAGAGCTCATTGTCTTCATCCACAATGGGCTTTGCTCCCTAGTTACATATATAACAAAAAGAGGCAACCCCCCCCCCCAAAAAAAAACAACCCTTGGTACTTTGATCAGTACAAAAGGTTGTCAGAGTGTACTAACCAGAAAAACCAGAGTATATTAACCAGAAAAGCAGTAGGTGGCAGCAAAGGATTACTTTTGCCAGTAATTCCGCTTGCCATTTCCCTCAACTTCCTTAACCACGTTTTCCTTTCAGATCTGAAAATATACAGTGTAAACAAATCTTCTGTTCCAATTTTATTCTGACTTAGTCACTATAGTAATAGAAGATTAATTGCAAAGAGAACTTCAAATCTTATTTAGTCAACTGTTATTAGTCAATTTTGGGTTCTTCATAGGATAATACTTATTTATATTCCAGGTCAGTCTTGGGTATTGTTTGCTTTTATTTTGTATCTGGAAATATATATTTGTAATCTAATTTCAAATAATATTTGTAGACAATGTTATTGTAAACCAGTTCCATGAAGAGTCACTTAGTATTTAGGTCCAATATATTTATATTCCACTGAAATGTTTAAAATGAAAAAAAGGGGGAGGAATTGGGGGGGGGGGGTTAGATATAAAGGCTGTTATCTTCTTTCGAAAAAATATAGATTCCTAATCCAAAACAAAAGCTAGGTATTAACAAAGGCCAAAACAGATGTATTTTATTTATTTTTATTTTTTTATTATTAGATTTATATCCCGCCCTTCCACATAGGCTCAGGGCGGCTAACATAAGAGGCAAATGCCGTACATAAAACAATTTAAAACCAATAAATAATCATTACAATTAAAATCGGTGCTCAACAGTAAACTATAACAATTCCAAGATGTACAGTTTGTCAATCTGCCTTGCTAATTTCTTTCTGTTTTTAAATTCTTTCTCTTCAACATTGATAATTAGCAATTAATCGCTGAGTTGAAGAATGAAAATGTCTGCCTATCTGAGTCTCTTTGCAGTCCGAATGGTTACAAATCAGCACAAATTCTTTATAGTAGGAAATACTTTTTTGCATGTTCCAGAAGGTTCAGATATTTAAGTTATGCCATTGTCAATTAGCTGATAGCAGAAGATTTATATATCAAAAAGACATGGTCTTAAAAAAGAGGAAGGGAAAATAGAGAGACCAAAAAAGATAGAGGTTTTTTTTCTCCATTAGTTCAATGCTATCAGAAAGAGAAAAAAGTAGACACAGTTGTTTTTATCTGATGTTTTTAGTTATGGTTTCAAAGTAACTGCAGGTGGAGTTCTGTTGACAATATAAAATAGTATAATTGATATCAGGCAAATTTATGCAGTATTTGCTGGCCATTCTCCACAGCCACCTTGATGTTGTCTGCATTAAAAGGAATCAGAAGTCTAATTAATCT